GGCCTCAGAAACCAAACCTGTCAGAACCTTGACCTTGGATTTTCAGATCTTCAGAACCATAGAAAGTGCATTTCTTTTTTGTTTTTGCTCTTTTTCATTGCCAGAGGATGTGTGTGTTTGCCAGGGAGAGAAAGCACACCTCAACGAGGCGTGGTCATGCCCGAGTCTTTCTCCTCCACGTCTCCACCCTGTCAGGATCTGGGGCACGTGCACAAGCCCAGCGTGTTTTTCAGGCCACTGGGGCCAGGATTCCAGCTGCAGTCAGGCCTGTGGGACGCGGCTCCCAGTGCACGGTATTTAATTGAGCTATGGGACTGGTCTGAGAAAATACATTTTTGTTGGTTAAATAACCTAGTCCGATATTTATTATGGAAGCCCTTAGCAGACTAATACAGAGCTAAGGAAACTTCAGTAAGCATCCCTTTAAGTTCATTTCAGGGCGGAGGGGACCGAGATAGCATTCAGCTGTTGAAACAAAACCAGGCAAACTTGAAAGCTGAAGCCAAAAAAAAGTTCTCTTTAATGACAAAGGATATTGGACTTAACCTTTTAAATTAGCCCCTCACATCCAATCCTAACCTTCAACCTCAGTTCTTTTGTGGGTGGAATTTTTCCTCAGCTTCTATCTGTAATATAGTTACCAAAAAATAATTTTTGCATACATTATCGTACCAATATCTATGTATTTTTAAGCCAACTTTTCATGGTAAATGTGCTTAAAGTCAGCATTCTTAAATCAGCCAGACCAACTAATTATGTGCTTGTCAAATGGTTAAAATTTAGGAAGTAACCGGGGTCAGCAGGTGGCGTGGTTGTTGCGGGCACTGGATTCCCACATGGCCGACCGTGGTTTGCGTCCTGGACCTGGTAGCTTGCTTTCTCCCTTTCTCCCTTTCTCTCTCTCTCTCTCTCTCTCACTCTTTCTCTGGTCAAATTAAAATAAATAAATAAATAAAGTTAAATAATTCTTTAAAAAAAAATTCAGGAAGTAATATGGAAAGAAATAATAGGAGGGATGTCTGTGGTTTTTCACTCTGTATCTGTTGGAGTCATTGCCTTCTAAAAGCAAGGTATTAATTGAGAGGGAAGAAGAATCAGACCCAAACCACAACTCTCAAGAGAAGCTCTTTTACAAACTCATTAAATTGTCATAGTCTTCAGTATCTGGCCTGGGTCAAAGTTCACACTGAGTCTGAATTAATGTGCATATTCTCAACATCTGATGGGGACTAAGGGATTATTCCTATTGAGCTCTGCAAGAGGGATTGATAATGGAGGAGAGATTTTAATAGGGTGAATTCGCAGAGTAGTTCAGAAGCTGAACTGTCAATTTTTGAGACTGACCATAGCTTTAAAGGGAAAAAGAAATCTTTTTTTCTTGAATACGTTTTCACTATAGGATGCGTGCGTTCGTCAGAAAGACCAAGAGAGATAGAGACAGAAAGCGAGAAATCACTCCCCAGGGGGGATGGCCATGCCGCAGTCCCTTCTCCTCCATTCTCCTCTCGGGATCTTGGGCACACACATGTGCCCCCAGCCAGATGTCCCTCCTGTTTCTTTAAGCCACCAGGTCCGGGACTCAAACCGTGGTCGACTACATGGGAGTCCAGCGACATAGCCATTACTCAACTGCTGATCTCAAAAGATCATTTTAATAATAGTATTTTTCTCCATTATTAAAATGATAGAGAAATGCGTCATTTGGCCGTTTTAACGGTACCTCCACATCTGTGTGTCGTGCGTGTTTTGTGGACATCCTAGCCTTGAGAGAAAACTTCTATTTCATGTAGTATATACATGATATCGGCTTACGAGAGGGACTCCATTCATCACTATTCCCTCCCATAGCCATCGGTTTTACCACCAGCAGCCACGGAAAAGATTCTAAAAGCTTGGTAGTAGCTTTAGAAAGAATATTTTTTACTAAATTTAAAACAGAACCTTCTTTTAAATTTATTCTGTAATCAATTTTCTAAAATGTGAGTCATAACCCATTTAGGATCAACAAAATGATTATTTTAGGACATCAGCATACTTTAAAAAATAAATTATAACAGAATAAAAGTGAAAAGATTAGAGAGCTCTGCTTTACCCAGTAAAGGTCAGTGTGGTTTTGTGAAACTTTTTGTACAGAGTGGGTCTCTGTTATTTCTCACTACGGGTCATGATGAGTGAAATCTAACATCCTTTGCCTTCAACTAACCTTTATTTCTATGAACACAGTGACTGAAGAACCCTCCCTGGATTTAAACTCCTCAAAGAAGATATGATTATTTCTGTCTTGGAAGAGCTCTTGTTTTTGAAATGGAAAGATCTAAGCAAACTCTTGAGAGTTGTTTACATAGTGAATTAATTTTTTCTCAAGTCTACTTTGGAAACATCACCTTCAAGAATTCATGGAACTGGAATTTTCTAACTGGAAGACTTCATTCGATTCTATTGCTCAAAGCCATCACTTTCTTTATTTGGGGTTTTAGCCTCTCTAAAATTATGTGACTTGAGCTGCTCGGGAGGCTGAAGCCCTGGCTCCTGCAACCAGCCAAGACCACCGGTTAAATTCAGAGGAAGTGGGTTTACTTCTGCTGGGCCTTGGGTGGAGTTCTGGGATCCTGGTGGCAGGACCAACAACCAGGATGCTATAAATACTATAGCAGTGGATCCGCAGACTTGCTTCAGAGTAGTTCTTTCACTTCCTTCCCACAGAAACCCCAGGTGCATGAGGGTCAAAATGTGCCCACGAAAGATAGATCTGTGGAAGGCCGCCCTGGCTTTGCTCTTTCTTCCTGGTTCTTGTATGTTCTCTTCCCTTGAAGGGACCATCTCAATAATACAGATAAAGACCAGGCAGGCTCTGTCCTGGGGACTTTGCCTCAAAAAGAGAAGGCAAATTACAAGAAGGGAACCTGAAGTCTGTCTTTATAAGCAAGTGAATCAAAAAGCAAAATAAGCTATTAAATGGCAAGTCTTGGGGGAGAAAGAGGGAGAGAGACTCCTCCAAACCTTGAGATCATACCTGATAACTGGTACTTGATCTGTTGCCAGGTTAAGGGAAGCAAACATCCCCCACCTGGTGGCCTGCTCTTAAGGCAGGCACTTTCACTTTCCACCTTCATTCTTTCAGCAAGTGCTTAGTGAGTCCACCTACGGGTCATGCGCTAGCCCGGAGCTCAAGGGATACAAAGGTCAGGCGCTAGCATTGCGCTTGAGACATACAAAGATGGTAAGACACAGTGCTGCCCTCAGTCGGCACTTGGCCCAGTGGGGAAGATACCCAACCAGAGGGACGCGGTAAGGAGAAGGAAGTAAAATCGGAGTGGGTGGGAATTAGCAGAGACCCTAAGTTGGTAAAGAGCCCAAGAAAGAGGAAAATGTGGTATAGCAGAGATTAGAAAAGGAACCGGGGCAGGGAGTGTAGGCCATGCTGGCACAGAGGGCAGGGCAGCATCTGGCAATACTGAGAGCCATATGGGAAGATCAGAGTTCACTTCCTGGATGGCCGGGAAGCAAGGGGTGGGGAGGATTGTCAGTATAAGACCCTGTTGACGATGCTGCGCTCTCTCTCTCTCTCAATAGAAAAAACAAATACACTTTAAAAGGCAAAGAGAGGGGCCAGCTGGTGGTGTGGTGGCTAAGGTGCTGGATTCCACATGGCCAACTGTACAGTTTGAGTCCCGAACCAAGCAGCTTAGAATTGCTCTGGCACGCATGCATGTGGAGAACGCATGAAGAAAACGGAGGTGAAGGGATTGTGGCATAGCCATCCTCTCTGAGAGGTGATTTCTCACTCTCCCCTGCCTCCAATGAAAGCATGCATCCAATAGAAAGTTCAAAAGCAAAAACAGAAACAAGCAAAACACCCCAAAAGGATAGGAGGTCAGCAACGGAAGAAGGAAGTCCAGCACTTCCAACCTTAACAGGCTTTAGAGACACAGGGGCCCACTAGGGTGTGTGAGAGGGAGCAAGGCCCACAGTCTCCCACCCAGTGCTCTTTCCCAAAGGGCAAGTGAAGTCTTTTCTGAGCACTGCTTGTGACCCAGGTGAACATTTGCAGCAGGATGAACTTCTAGATCCAGTTCACAAGGCCTCAAGGTGCCAGACCACCCTGGTAAGCAGCAGTCAGAAAAGACGAAGCTTCAGAAAACCTCCTTTCAGCCTCTCTTTCTCTTTACATGAACAAAGCACAAACCCCCTCCCCGGAGAAAAAGCACATCTCTCTTCTTTTTTTTTTTTTTTAGAGGTTTTCGTTATAGGGCGTGTGCGCTCGCCAGACAGAGAGAGACATAGAGACAGAAAGCGAGAAATCACCCCCCAGAGGGGATGGTCACACTGCAATCCCTTCTCCTCCATTCTCTTCTCGGGATCTTGGGCATGCGCGCACACGCGCCCGGCGTGAGTTTTAAGCCACCGGGTCCAGGACGCGAACCATGGTCGACTAGCCATTACACTAACTGCTGGTTCCCAACCCATCTCCCTTCTTTATAACCTTCATATAGAATAGAATCATGGGTTTGGCTTTAAGATAGTGAAGGAAGAATTTTTGCTTCACTTCTTTTTGTCTTGGAAGCAAAAAAGAGAAC